GCCTTCGCTCTTAGGTTGGAGGCCTTCGCTCTTAGGTTGGAGGCCTTTGGACTTTTGGACGCTAAGAGCTCTCTGGCGTTCTTTGCGCGATCCTGTTGTGACATCGTCACGGCTTCCGGTGGAAGTCTTAGTGATCCAAGATCACGAGCAAGTGCCACCGCGTGGGTGACCAGTTCACACATCTGCAAAAAGGGCCAACATCTTATCGAAGGCTGGCACCTCTTTCAGGGTCTCAAAAAGCACCGACAACTGGCACAAATCCTTCTTCCGGAGTGCCCATACCATCATGACCTGAGTTTCGAACCACCCAGGTAATCCTAGGACCGGAACAGCACTCACATCATCATGGCTCAGAAGCCACTCAGTAGGGGTCGAGGTGTCAAGAGATTTCAAAGCCGCCCGGTAGTGCCCTGACCCAGGTTGCCCCAGGTGCGCCACTGCAGCTATTGGAACATAGTCAAAGTACTCGACCTGGATGTCATCACCTTTGAACTGAGGAATCCTGAACACAGCATCAAGCAGCACTTTAGACATGAGCTTCTGGCCATGTGGGTTACCTGCCAACGGTCGGAGTCGGTCCAAGTGCAGGCAAATCATGGATGGAAGGTGTGAAAAAGCTGTGATCATGCCGGACTCTGTGTGCCAATTCTCAACAAGATGACTCAATGGATGGATCGGCTCAGGCATCACTCGGAGGTGCAGCAAGAGAGCCCCAAGGGCATGCGCATGTCTTTTTACAACACCAGTATCACGAGCAAAGCGCCGCTCCCACATACTGTAAACAGCAGCTTGGTCCATCTTGGACATGAGAAAGGTGGTGAATTCAGCAGCGTCGTGCTGCCGATTTCCATCCCAAGCGGCAAGGTGGTCCTGGAAATGCCTCAGAGCGAGGATCAAAAAGGGTGCAGGTCCACATTGCAGCATAGCCTTCAACCCCCCTTGAAGGACGCCCCAATCATCAAAAGAGAAATGCTGCCGATGAAGACAGGCCCAAACCATAGCAATCATAGATGAGTTGACGTAGCAGTGGTTGGCAGGATTCTGCATAGCCCATGAGGCCACAGTCAAAGCCAGTTGGCTGCGCTCTGCAGTGATCAAAGGCGGGTGATCATGTCCTTGATCTTCAAGGCAAGCGGTGAGGCTTTCAGGTTGTGAGGCTTCATCTGGATGGAGGCCTGCAATTTGCATCAGACTCAGGTGGCAGCAAGAGGTCAT